TATAACTGCACCACTAGAGGCCACTAAGACGACATATTGCCCCTTTAAATAAGCTCAACCTTAAATATCTATAGCAGTAAAATGCAATGCATCAGTCACATTAATCTAGAAAATATCAAATATAGTAATGAAACACAGACAGGGAACATTTTACTGCACAAATTACTACTTTTACTTTAAATTTTGCTGATATACTTCTACTTCTACATTTGACGTAAAAGGAAACACAGTACCTCACACTTTGGTTTTATGGAGGGAGCCACGTGGCCAGTGTTTTTCTGTTCTTGATTGTTTGACTGTATGTTATCAGAATTAATAGCCTGATCAGGACTATCAGTGTTGCTATAATAAACACATACCATACAGCAAATCATGCTTATTGAAAGATTGTAGATAGCAGAAGAATTATTTTCTTCTTTTTTTTTCACCCAAAAACATTTAAATTACAGAGATAGGGCCTACATTGTCAGTTTAACCTCAAGTTTTGGTGAATGAAGGGGCTCTTCTAAAATGTAAAAAAATAATTCTTTTACAATGTTTGGGAGACAACGATGCATTTTAAATCGCATTCTGCAGATAGAATGTGTTCTGATAGCTATTCATTAACATCTGTCGAAGAAGTTCTCGGTGTGGAAACACTGTTGAGGGGCGTTCCTCAATACTTCCCTGTTTTGATGTCTGTTAAAACAGCAGTTACTGAAAGCCGCATTTGATCCCACAATTTTATTGTTTTAGAACTCCTCACTGTGTGTTTTTTATGTTAGTTCCCACACCTGCAATTCAGTTTTATTTGTTTGTAGATTCCCCGGCTGGATACAGTACTCAAATGTATATACAGTACAATCTTCAATGTGACCCAGTATTCAGCAAGAGAACAATACTGCCTAAAATCTTTTTTTGATCCTTTATTTAACCAGGTAAGCCCGATTAAGGTCGGAAACCTCTTTTGCAAGGGAGACCTGGCCAGGTCGGCTGCATAAAAAGTTCAAAACAGGACAATACAACATAAGGCACACAAGTAGAAAAGTACTGAAAACCAGGTAATAATGTTAATGTAAAATTAAAGCTGCAAGCGTTCGAAGGGGCCTTACACTGTGACGCATGCCAGGGCTTGTTGAGACCTCAAGCAATTAATGTCATCCATTACGTTGTCATCAGTGAAGGCTTTGGGGAGTAAGGGAGTAGAAAAAAAGTTATTAATATGCAAATGTAATCCATATCTTATTTAATTTATTTTCTGTGTGTGTGTCTGGTTCAAACACCCACTTCTGCAGCTTGGTTTGCGCTTGTTTGTGGACCAGGGATAACCTGAATGAAGAAGTAGCTGTCAGACAGCTGGAAGAGTCCATAATAAACAGGGGGCAGAGGACTCCTCTTGTGTCTGAGAGGACGGGAGAATGTATTCTTAGGTTTTTCACCTTCCTCAAGCTCCAGCTCACTCTCTTTGTCCTCATCGTTCATTCTGTGATTTTCCTGCTCCAGTTCCCTCTCATCAAACTTGTTTTCTTCTTCATTTAACAGTTCCTCTAGCCTTTCCATCTCTGGCGTGTCAAACTCCTCGCTGGTAGTGTTAGCCTCTCAGTTTCGCCTTAGAGCCATTTGGGTTGTTGTAGTTGTTGCTTTGTTAGTCGTTATCTCTGTAGTCTTTGATTTGGCGGTGGTTGCTTTGGTAGTTGTTATTTCCGTAGTCTTTGATTTGGCGGTGGTTGCTTTGGTAGTTGTTATTTCCATAGTCTTTGATTTGGCGGTGGTTGCTTTGGTAGTTGTTATTTCCATAGTCTTTGATTTGGCGGTGGTTGCTTTGGTAGTTGTTATTTCCATAGTCTTTGATTTGGCAGTGGTTGCTTTGGTAGTTGTTATTTCCGTAGTCTTTGATTTGGCGGTGGTTGCTTTGGTAGTTGTTATTTCCGTAGTCTTTGATTTGGCGGTGGTTGCTTTGGTAGTTGTTATTTCCGTAGTCTTTGATTTGGCGGTGGTTGCTTTGGTAGTTGTTATTTCCGTAGTCTTTGATTTGGCAGTGGTTGCTTTGGTAGTTGTTATTTCCGTAGTCTTTGATTTGGCGGTGGTTGCTTTGGTAGTTGTTATTTCCGTAGTCTTTGATTTGGCAGTGGTTGCTTTGGTAGTTGTTATTTCCATAGTCTTTGATTTGGCGCTGGTTGCTTTGGTAGTTGTTATTTCCGTAGTCTTTGATTTGGCGGTGGTTGCTTTGGTAGTTGTTATTTCCATAGTCTTTGATTTGGCGGTGGTTGCTTTGGTAGTTGTTATTTCCATAGTCTTTGATTTGGCGGTGGTTGCTTTGGTAGTTGTTATTTCCGTAGTCTTTGATTTGGCGGTGGTTGCTTTGGTAGTTGTTATTTCCGTAGTCTTTGATTTGGCGGTGGTTGCTTTGGTAGTTGTTATTTCCGTAGTCTTTGATTTGGCGGTGGTTGCTTTGGTAGTTGTTATTTCCATAGTCTTTGATTTGGCGGTGGTTGCTTTGGTAGTTGTTATTTCCATAGTCTTTGATTTGGCGGTGGTTGCTTTGGTAGTCGTTGCTTTGGTAGTGGTTGGAGCTCATTGTGAGAGCTGTTGTGACTGCTGGTTTTGGCCTGGCTGTCTTTGACGACTCCCTTACAAGGCCAGTGTTCAGATTTGACATCCCATTCACTCCACAGACAACTGTACGCAGATTGCAGAAAGCAAACAATGAAAAGTAAGATGATCGTCGCGTTATCTGGGGTTTGGCTTCAGTGACTGCCTTAAACTCGAAAAAAAGGAGATGACAGATGACACTTGGACAACTCAGCTCCTTAAAATCTTCTTTGAATTTATTTAATTTTCCACAACCATGAATTGTAATTCATACATCATTTTTGAGTTTAATAGGTTGATAACCTTTAAACATATCAAAGTGTAACTATTAGTACACATTTCCTTTCCTTTTCTGCACCTTATTTAAAATATTCCATTTATATAGTGTCAGCATTTGTAACTCAAATTAAACAAATGATCCAAAATAAAGTTATTAAACACATCCAAATAAATAAAGCAGTTCATTTAAGAATGAAGATTAATACTAATGATAATAAAGATCTCCTGCACACTGATGCACCCTCTGCTGTCAATCTTCATTTCCTTCTCCTTCTTTGTCTACCTCAAGCACATTTGCCGGCCCTAATTCACATTAAATTGGCATCTTTTACCAAGTGGCTGCAGCGGAAACGCCTTCATGAACCTTCACCTCACATGAAAGTCTCAGCTCGGGACTGCCCACTCAGGTGATCTCCCATCAATGCAGCTATTGGTATTTGAGGAAATAATTTAATAATTAAGCTATGACAAAATGAAAACCAAATCAATTCAATCCTTGACATTTATCTTAACAATGATTTTTATTGAGTTACTAGATTTAAAAAAATGAAATTGTATTCCTGATTCATGATAGATAATGAGATACCACTGTTTTATAGGAGCAAGAAAAAACAGTTTTTGTTGTTCTGCATCTCATAGTAGTCATTATATGCTGCTCTGTAGTTTTTAATATATCTCATAGTCCTTTTTCATCTCTTTGTGTCACTGTCATCTGATTAAGATTCCAATAAGAAATGTTAACAGTCACTTGAAGCAGAGGCTCTGGCTCAGGAGCCCCCACACCCCTCAGTTCAGTAATCCATCCATGTCCATCCATGTCCTGACTACATTGACCAAAGACAAAAAAAATGCAGGCTTATAGGTTTTTAGCCTTGCTCTTGAACGCACCTCTGGAGCATCAAATTAGCTCCGCTCAGAACAAACCCCCTCATTAGCTGAGATTATTTAAAGTATCATTTTAGTATCATGGCTGCCTCTTTGCTTTTTCCCTGCCTGTCTGTTGTCACATGAACCCTCTCTGATGTCTAGCAGTCTACTGCCTGCCTGTGTGGCGTGATGTATTGTTCCTCCAGAGCACCCTGTGTTAAGGTGGTCAGCTGCTGTTTTGCCTTTGTAAAATTAGGATTTTAGCCATTGCTGCTGGTACACTCTGACTGTAGTGCCTCCAACCGGCACTCCCCTAGTTGACTATGCTTATATTTTAGATATAACCAACTGGTCCATTGTGTTTTATTTAACTTGTTGTTTTGTTCTTTTCAGTGGTGCTAGTTGTCAGCTTTGGTGGAGGCTAGGTACGCTAGTGTGGGTTCCTTCACTGATTGTAGTGTTAACGGCACTGGGGCACGATTTGGTAGTGAACCGGTTTGCAGTGACTATCGATTGCAGTGAGCACATGCATGTAAGTTGGTGCACCCCTGGAGCACACCTTTAGTTAGACTGCCTCCCCACAGCTGGCCCTGGCCCACTCTGCTCTTTTGTTTGGTTCAATAATCAGTAATAACTGGGAGTGTTATAAAATAAATTTATTTGCCAAAATTTGTAATAAACTTTCATATTCCATTCTAATTTGATAATTTATTTGTATTCACCATCCTCTTTTCAGGCACTTCCAGCTACCAGTTATCAATAAATAAGTTACTCTTTTGGCGCCACATCTCTGTCTTACTTCAGTAGCCTTTGTATAAAGGTTTAGTCAAAGTAGAAAAACATTTCCTAGGGTGGAAGTCCCCAGGTGGTGTTGTCGGATAGTTAGATTCTGATGGTGGTGATTCCTCTCTTAGCGCTACCACCAGCTTGGCCACATTATCATTTATTCACCTATTGCCAGGATTCTTTCCTTAAATCTTTTAAGCATTCCCAGCAGGGAGATCGCCGCCCCAAGCTTGTCTTTCAGCTCGTAGTTGGAGACGATCCGGCCCTCAGACAGGGTGGGCACCAGAACTGCCACTGCTTCGAGATGGTGGTAACCCACATGCCATAATTCTTGTCATTTTTGATTTAGACTTTTAGTTTTAATTCTGATTAAAGGGATGGTGTTTTTCTTCCTTCATTAGTCCACACTGTGACACTTTTCTACCACAATGCTGTAGGGCAGACTTTTTTCCTGGATTATAGATACACATATAACGCAACAATTTCAACATGCTTCACTTTATTATTGTCATAAATCACTGGCCACTCATTTGAGTGGTGGTTAATCCTTCCAGTGGTAGTTAAGGCACTGAATGTATTTAGGTTAGGCGCATTCAGCAAAGTACTCAGAGGCATCCTGATCACTGCACTCTTGCTGGAAGATGAGCCTGATCCTGGAAATAAACACATGAGATTAACGTAATGTACAATGTTGTTTCTTGTCAAGTAAACTGACTGTATTAATTTCATGATTATATTGGGAATTAATTCATACTTTATTGCATTTAAAAGGCGGATTACCAAAAGCAGTACATCCAACTTAAAGACTGCAAACAGATGAAGATAATAACTTACATTTTGCTCAACTCCTTCCACTGGGGGGGAACGGAACTTTTTGCACTGTGGAAATATTCAGAAAAACATATTTAAAGCATTAGGGTTTAGCTAACCTATTTGAATCACACAGGGCAACACTCTCCCTCTTTCTGTGGACTTAGAACCTTTAAACCTGACTGACTTCTGGCTTTTCAAAGACAAAACAGGAATTGCTTCAGCAGCAGAATGGTTCATCAGAATCAGGACGATGGACCACTAACTAATCATTAGCCTCAGCGCCCCTAGTGTCATATTTCACAGTTATATAACATTGTACAATAAAGTCAACATGAATTAACATATCATTTTTAAAAGAAGTTGCTGTGCAGGCTTTCTGACATTTGATGCACCTTTGATTCCACTGTGTAGAAAATTTTAAATGAACTTACATCAGCTGGTTTAAGGTCCTCATTAAGCAGCTGATGTCATCACTTATGTCGTCATCAAGCAAGTCTGGAAAGAAAACAAGTTTTCTGGTTTAAGGTAAAGATGCAAGCTGAAAATGTGAAAAATGGACGCCTCTCCAGAGGAGAGAAGAACAAAAGGAGAATGAACTGTAGTTCCTGCTAATTGTCCGAGCTGTCACATAAACACTCTGCACATACAAACACACATGATTGGTGCATAGGTTACTAGCAAGGTACAGCTAACATCTGTTGAGTCACTACATTGGCTTTTTGGGTCAGATTTGAGCAAATGTATAAACTTTAAACTTTAAAAGTATAAAGATTGAAACTCACTGTTGCAGTCCATCTCACAGATGTTGGGTGAGAGAGTCGTGTCGTTGCAGACCAGGTGATTGCTGAGCTGGAAAAGACCATAGAGGGTCCAGACCTCCTCGTCCAGATGTTGAGGGTGGTTGAATGGTGTGGGATGGGTGGGTGGTGTAGGCCGGGTATTTGATAGAGGTTGCCTGATATCCCGTCTTTCCCTGGCGTGGGGTCGGATTGTGTTTAAGGGGTCGTTAGGCTTAACCAGGTGTGGAGGGCGAGTGGGTGGTGTGGGGTGGTTGGAGTTTTTAGGAGGGGTGAGTGGTGTGGGGCGGGCAGAGGGTTCGGTATGGTTGGATTGCATGGGGTGAGTGGGCAGTGTGGGGTGGGTGTTTGATGGAGGATGTCTGACTTCCCGTCGCTTCCTGGACAGGATTGTGGTTGACTGGTTCAATTTGGTTGGAAGGTTGGTTGTTAGTGTGGGAAGAATGGGTGTAGTTGGAAGGGTGGAATTTGTTTTATTGGTGGATGGTGTAGGATAAGTGGGTGTGGTAGCATGGGTAGATGGTGTAGGACGGGTGGCTGGTGTGGGCCTGGTTTTTGATGGACGCCGCTTGTCTTCCCGTTCCTGCTCTTCAGAGTCGTCCTCACGCTCGGCCTTGCCAGACATTCCCCTGTAGCCTGCTTCCCTTTTCTCCCTGCTGTGATGGTCATCCATCCCAGGAGTCAGCTGATTCACCGCACTGGTGTTAAAGTCCGACGTCAGCTCCACATGACAGACGACTGGAGGCAGGGGAGATAAGAAACAAACAAAACAAATCATCTTCAAATGTCAGTCATGCTACTACAAACTTCTGGGCAGAACGAATATTCATGGTCCCCAGAGGACGAATCCTAATGATATTATGACCCCCTAATTTTTACTTAAGCACCACCGTCTGCTCAAAACTTCAACTTGTATAAAAGAAATATCAAAATGAAATACTATGTATTTTTGGCACAATGTGAGCTGTTATAATTCTATATTAATACACAATATAATAATAATTGTGCTATAATGAAAGTCAGGTGATCGTTGAAGGTATCATGATTCATCCTATGGGGACAAAATTTCTCAGTAATATATTCAATAATTGTTAATCTATTTCCATCTGGATCAAAGCAGTGGACCAACTGACCAACTATGCCATCCATTAAACCACAGCGCCAGTTGACATGTTCTATTACTACCATGAACCGGCCACTGTAGCTTATTTCAATCAATACCACGTACATGTATACGTAAATACTCACTAAAGCACTAGATAATAATAATAAAAAGAACATATATCAAATTAATCTTTCTCATAGTATTTTCATACAATAATTTCTTAGACATACAGTATTTTCAAACGGAGGCGTCCTCAAAGATAAAAAAAAGAGCACTCCACTTCAACTTCATAATTTATGCAAATAATGTCTGGCTTCCTCATATATTATACAGTTGTCTACAATTTTTCTTGTGTAGCTTGATGTCTTGAGGTTTCAGTGTTTTTGTTTCAAAATTATAGATAAAAAACATCCAATTAGGACCATGTAGACCAAATAGATGGCTAATAACAACTGAGCAGCTAAGACACAAAGGGGACATCATGTTGGTTTGAATCAGATCTAAATGGTTCAGTCGAGGTTTCCCAGGAGCTCTCAAACTTGTTTTAAAACAAATTTTGCTGATCACAAATCACATTATACAGTCATACATTTTTTCTACTTCCATTGACATTTGATTATTTTGAACACCATATTAGGCTTCATTTTTTCTAATGTAAAAGTAACAAACAGGACTTACTCTTGGCCACCAAGTTCTCCACACTCTGTCCTTTTTCAGCCTTCACCATCAGTTTACCAAATGCCGTCATCAGTTGCCTTCAGTTCACATTTGGACACAAGTCTCCCTCCAGCCAGACTGCAGCCCAGCACTGCCAAGAGAAACACCTCAAGTACTCTCATCTTGACTCTAGTTATCACCTCTGAAAACTAACATGACATGATAAATATATATACTGTCTGCAGAGCCACTGGGGGCGAATCAGAGACAACTTTTGTTCTCTTCAGATAAAGGCCACTCCTTCTGGATATACAAAGAAGGCTCTGGGAGTACATGATGTGCAAATCTCACACATAGCTCAAGGACAGAAACATTACATCTACCTGAATACATCTTTTCAGATTTGGTCACACCTTTGTCCCGTTGAAAAGACAATGATACTAAAACCAGAAATGGGTTTCTGCTGACATCATATCAGTGACTACAAAGTGTGTGTTAAATATGAAGCCATTCATGTTTAGCCCAACAAAGGAAAGATCAATAACAAGAGCAGCAACACAAAAGTTGAGTGGGACAAACACAGAATTTCAGTTTCAGTGAATACATTTTCCATGAAGGGTCTTCTTCACTAACAAAGACGACGTCATTTGTGCGGTATAAATAGTAATTTATTCAGATAGCAAGAGGGTTCAGGAAGGATAAGATGAAGGAGTCAAGCGGGTTGGTTGGCTTCTCAGGGTGGGGGCACAACTCAAGTGTGTCTAGGTGTCACTGGGTTTCCCTTTGGGTGTCACTGAGGTTGTTGTGGATGTAGCTATGGTAAGCTTGGGAAGACTACTGGCCAATAATTGGTGGGATCTGGGATCCCTTGTCTGGAAACTGTTGAAGCTGCTCTGGTGACTGGAGTACGGTTCAGGAGAAATCCTTGATTTGGACAAGATTGGCAGAGATGGTGGTTGAATCAGAACTGTGTAGCAACTCTGAATGATTCTGCGGTGAAGAGAAGGTTTTGTGGAGATTTGTTTGAAAGAGGTGTCAAGGAAACCATCTACACCAGGGTTGAGAAGCCGTCATTGAACAGGGGAGGGGGTCTACGCCACCACTTATCCCCCACTTACAATGCTGTCCTTTCATCACTTCCCAGGAAACTCAACAAACGTAACCTATTGGCCTCAGGTGAAGATACCAACGATGGTCGTTCAGTCTTGGCCACAGGTAGTCTTAACGACTGTAACGACTGTCGTCACAGCAACCAGGAACACTAACGAACCAGCAGTAGCGACAATCCTGGCAAACGACCCCACTGAGGTTAAATAGCTGAGTTTCCCTGCCAGTCAGTCAGAACTGAAGAAGTCCTTTGGATGAGGGACGAAACGTCTTCCAGTAGCTTCAACCAAGTCCAGTTGCCCTTGACTTTAACCTTCTTTGGATATCTTGTGATGGCTACTTCCAGCAGGAAAGTGCACCATGTCACAAAGGTCAAATCATCTCAAACTGGTTTCTTGAACATGACAATGAGTTGCTATGACCTGGATAACTGAGAATCTTCACAGACGTTACTTATGACAGAAATACAGTCAGTGGAAGATGAAGATGAGCAGCGGACCACAATCCACCCTGGCAGATCAACAGTTCCAGGCAACACAGCAAGTGCAGTGATCAATCTGAGGAGAGGAAAGAGAGGATAGGAGCCATGTTGGCCCAACTTTGACTTAAGGCTGGTCCTCAAGGTCCGGTCTGGACAAAATTGAGTCATGCTGGCCAAGCAACAGAAATCAGACTGTTGTGTCCACATCTTTACAGAGACCTGCCCCATCAACATCCCTTATCAAGCACTCGGCGGGCAGTCCGTGTTTCCAAGCTGTCAGCGCAAGACTATGACAAGATTAGAGGAGGACTCTAATCAGACAAGGCTGATGACAGTGAAGCAGAGGGACAGAATCACTGTAACAGGGCAGGGGGACAGAGTTAACAGGAGGGTGTAGATGAAGCAGAAAGCATGGAGTTGCTTATCAGGGACCTGTAGGGAGCGGCGAGGGAGCCAGGGGTGTATGCCATGCCATAATGACGATGATGATGATTACTTCAATTAGGGTCAATGATAATAATAGGCTAATCGTAAAGCTATCAAAAAGTGATCACCCAGTTAGTCACTGTCAAATAGTACAGCAGAAGCAATTTAACATTGTTTTTGTGGCTAGAAATGTTTTTTTCTGCCTTCCTCCTGTCAGTCATCTTTAGTGTTTAGGTACTGCTGCGTTAAAAAAGGTTCAGGCATTTGAGAGTGGTGCATGGATTTTAGGATGAAATAAAATGCTATCAAACAGAAACTCAAGAGTCTATTAATACTGTTGTTTATAAACATAGTTTTGTAGTCACTGGGGATCCCCTGTTTGTGAAAATTACAGTCAGGTAAAAGCCTGAATTGTGATTGTCTTGCTTTATTGCTGTTGTTTAATTTGGTTGACTACATATGTTGTAAATGTTGTGTTCAGGTGAACAGACTTCATTTTGGGCTTTGAAAAATGTTATCCATGTTCATGTCAGAGTTCTTCACAAATCTTGTGTTGTTTAGTCATGAGTTTGACGATGTCCCTCATCCATTTCCAGGACATCTGATCCAAATAAGGTTCACAATGAAAATGGTCTCAAGTTTCAACAAATCCTATTCAAATGACAGACTGACGTACAGCCTGAGTGGTGAATAGCAGACACAGAAGAGCTTAAGGATATTTTTAGACATGTTTACTCAGTTTTTTACCTCTGAGACTACCCCAGACTACTGATAATATAATATAATGATAATAAATAACTAAGTCATAGAAATACTTTAATATAAGATGTAATTTAATCATACTGCTCTAGAAGTCCCAGAAGAAACACATGACTTGACATGAAAACATGACTTTACTGTTCTCATTGGTGTTTATATGACTGAACAAGCTCTATGCCGGCTCCCTAGATGTTTACTGGTTTGATAGGAACTTTATTTGACAGAGAAAATGGATAGCTAAATGTTTATCACCAGTGACAACCAGTATTATGCATTAAGACATTAAGTTCATGTTCAGTAAAGTTCAGACAAATCTCCTGTAGTATAAGAAAGAGTTGTATAAGAGTCTCTTTGCAGTTATGATCTGGTTGTTTCCGTCATGTGCCTGTTGAACTCTGAACTTGGAAAAACATCTAAAACAGAAACAGGTTGTACACCTGTACATTGGTATGTTATGTGCTGCCATGCAGGTATATCAGATGTTTTTGCTTTTGATGGGATTTTTTTAGAAACTCATGAACAACTCCCTCCAAATGTCTGATTGGTTTTCATGCAGTGGTACCACTCAAGATGACTGACAGTAGGAAGCAGACTTGTACATATCACTGTTACAGCAGTTGGCTGTTCTGCAGAGTCATGCTGTTGATCCCTTCTAGTACACCAAACTAACTGGAAAAGTGAGATGGCAATGAAGCAGAATGTGGAAGCGCCATGTGATCATCCTGAGGTGTAATCAAATCAAATTAGAGAAAACAGCTGTGTGTATGTTTACTGGCCTAGGGTAAAATGAGACATTGCACATGCAGAAAATGAATGTCATCAGCTGTGACACGAGAATGTTTCCCAGAGAGTCTGTGTTGGTGTTTCCTGACAGTGTAGGAGCCCTTGGCGAGATTTTTCATTGCCCTCCCATGTGCCCAACCTTAAACCAACATTACCCACCGCAGTGTGTAAAAGTTCAGTAACAGAACTAATTTAACCTAAGTCAGTAATCATGGTCAATAATGAATAAGCGTGATCAGCATACGTGCCATCCCCCAGGCATCATAGCCTAAATTGGTAGACCAAACTGTACCTGGTATTTGAAAATGTTGCCCCTAGAAACTCCAGATAATTTGTCAAACAGAGACTGTTCTCTTTCATTCAAGCGAATTTATGGGATAGGTACTACTTCTTTTTGAAGAAATGCAAGAGCACAGGTTTTATTTGAACACGGTAGCAAACACTTAAGTTGGGAGACTGGGGGACTTCACGCAGAAAGGTTTGAGCATTAAACACTTAATTTCCTGCTTTCTGGTGAACCTTTCTGCACCAATTTCTTTTTCAATTATAGACTCATGGACTTTAATAGCTCCTTCAGCACGTTTTCTGCTCATATTCTAAACTTTCTGCACATTAAGAATTTCTCCCACATATCTGTGATCTCTGACATGTCAAGAAAAAAGTTGTAATTTAATGAGACTAACGGATATAACTTAAATTATTTATATAACTGTTAAAAGAGATGGGCCGCCGGCCAGCCATTAAAGCACAGATAGTGGCCCATTGGTAAATTTTCTTTACTGAAACTGGGCTGGCCCAATCATATCTCTTATTAGCCACCACTCCCTCCTCCTCTGCCATCTGTTTCTTGTGTTGCAGGCAAAACAAATAATAAATCTTAAGAGATGCCTCCAAATGTGCCAAAATAACTGATATGTTTGCCACCAGGTCTCTTGGAGCTTCAACATCAGCTGCAGTACCCAACATTGTGCAACCACAGGCACTTGAAGGAATTAAAGGATAGCCATTGCCAAGCCCACTTTAATGTATGGGTTTACTGGGGCTTAAGCCCCATGGACTATGAAGACAAGGGGGCTATCAATAAAAAAAATCACATGTTTTATAATTTGTCACATTTTCTATCCATCACTTATTCATGTTTTTGTGGAGGGGACAATAAGGTCGAACAGGTGCGTATTTACTAGGCAAAAATGAGACCAGAATTTTGTCAGAATAGAGAGCGTCAGAGAAGATTCCTCTCCAGAACACCATCCTACCTCTTGCTGACTGTGCTTGAGGAGTTACATAAGGAGTTGAACATACAGCTGATGGGACAGAGACGGTGCTGGATGAATTCATCAGTAGGGTGAAACATGTGTAAAGTATTTCTCTGTCAATCTCTACTTCAGATATCACATATGTGGACCATCTGACTTTCATCCTGTGGTACATATTACAGCCTCTCTCTCTTTCTCTCTCTCTCTCTCTCTCTCTCTCTCTCTCTCTCATATATATATATATATATATATATATATATATATATATATATATATATATATATATATATATATATATATATATATATATATAAGTATAGAGGAGTGTTTTGTTAAATCCCTCCCAATTGCAAGCCATACCAGAGAAGCACTGTTAAATTTTTTAGCAGTGATAGAAGACAATGCCAGCAACATGTTGGATACCTA